TAATATGAGATGTGAAATCTGCCATTCTGCATAATCATTACTTTTACTTTAGGTATTTTAAGTATATTTTGATGCTATTTCTTTTGTACTGTTACTTAAGTAACTTTTTGAAAGCAGGGCTTTTACTTTTACACTGTGGTATTGCTACTTCTACCTAAGTAAATAATTTGAGTACATTTACTCAGGTACACTATTTTTGTACAATTTTGAAGTATCTGTACTTTATTTAAGTATATCAATTTTCTGCTACCTCACACTTTGACTTCACTACATTTCAGAGAAAAATATTGTACTTTATGCTTTCTAAATTTATTTAATAACTGCAGTTACTAGTTACTATTCAGAATGATATTAATAAAACAAAATACAGTATAATCACAAGACTATTGATCCCCAATGAGAAATTCACAAGTTGCCCAGCAGTAGGTAAAATACTTCAAATTATAAGTATATACATAAGATAATTAAAATGAGCTCTACCATTACCAGGTCCAACAATAAATGTGATGTATACAATAACACCTTAATAGTTATAATCCAATAATATAATAAACATTAATGTAAACTGTGCCATTCTGTATAATGAGTACTTTTACTTTTGGTACTTTAAGTATATGTTTATGCTAATACTTTTGTGCTTTTACCTAAGTAACATTTTGAATGCAGGACTTACTTATAACAGTATTAATTCTCAAGCCCAGCTGTCAACTGATGATTTTATTGACAGTCAAAATGATTATGAAATGATCACAGAAAGCAGTGTATGTGGTATATAAACTGACAAGAGAAGATCATTTGCTATGCTTTCTTAGCATTAGGATGTACCTGTTTAATTGTAACGCATCCTGATTCTCCATAATCAAAGTAACAATAAACAGCAGATTCACTTGTATTCTACTTCGGCTGTATAGACGTGAGTGCAGTGTGTTTGTGTACATATACTGTGGGGCCATTTTATGTATGTGTGAGTGATTCACAGGAAGGCATGAACATGAGCATCACGTGAATGTGTGTCTTTATGTGTGTGAAGTAAAATCTTGGAAAAATGGAAGATGCTAACTTTTTATGTAACAGTGCATGGTACACAGACTCACACTAAAGCAGACACACTCATGCACATACTATAGCCTTGCATGTTACGGGGTGAGAGAGTGCACTGGCTGAGCTCAGATGAACCAATGGCAACCTGGGGAAGTAGGAATGTGTATGGCGCTAGTCCAAGAAAGGCCGCCAGAATCCTCAGCAGGCAACTCCAGTTGTCTTAGTGAATACAAGTGTGTGTGTGGGAGTGTATGTGTCTGCACAACAGGCTTGGGGTAGTAAGTGTGTAGCTATATGAGCATTTGTAATTTTTGTGTTGGCAATGAATGTATGGGGCAAAAGTCTTCAATTGCAACTTTTGTTATTAGCTGGGGCAGACTATAATCTGCTGTATACTGTATGAAGCTCTCTCAAGCTGCTTTGTATAAACAGCCAATGATGAGATGACACCAGTGTTACTGTGAGGTTGTGTGCTTTATCATACAACCATTTTGAGGCTACAGCTGTCACTATCTTTGTTGTGTACAGTAACATGGCTACTGGTGTTCTCCTCTATGGTGAGGTTAGTGGAAAAGACAATTTATTTGTTCACAAAGTGTCCACGTGTCTCTGCTTTCCCATCAGATGACAGAGACAGGACATTACAAAATATAATATGCCAATTAATCATAGTGCAAATCAATTCTTGACATTTTGGGTGATGGAAAAAACTGCAATTTACTACAGTTTGTGATTTAACATACAGTAGCATTAAGGTTATTATTTTCTTTGTGAGAAATAGGTTGCCCAGCATTCTTCATCATGATTTTCTTGGAAATTAACATTTCTCTGAAATGCTTAATCTAAATTCCTTAACAGCTGCAGGACGCCATGGAACACCTGGAGGTGAATGGCTCCCACACAAGTGGGCAGTTTCTACAGCCAGCAAGGAGATCTGTCCTGTAGGGGAGAACATAGGGAGTCAGGGAGGATCCTCGCTACACCGCCACTCATCACACTGATCCCAAAAATACTGCACGATGTCATGTCATAAACGTGGACTGCAGCAGAAATGGGCCGTGTGTGCATTTGACTAATGCACAACTGAACATGAAAAAGGGGGAGGGAGAGCAGAGTAAGGAGGAAAAAAAGAGGAGAGTGAAGGGCTGTTTAAAATATTCAACCCTCCTTCCATTAACTAACCATGTAGTGATGGGAACACAACCTGCACTATACATCTCATAAGAGAGTGGAAGAGAGGTGGTGCACTGTGAGAGTAGACCTCTTACATCCAGCAGCCCTTCAATCCAGCTCAGCATTTTCTCAATGATGTCATCTCTTTTTCACTCTCACTTCACCCTCTTCACTTTCTCCCCCGCCTTCATCTGCTCTCTCATTTCGTCCTTCCTGAGCTGTTTGCATCCCGCAGGAACATGCTTGAATTCCCCCTACTGCACTTACACAATGTGCGCCTGATTACAATATACAAAGCATCTTGTTTTGCAGTCATCCCTATAAATCTATAGCCGCCTACAGCCATCCTGAGTTCAGCTGAAACAGGATGAGGCTCACTTGCTTGTGACGGTACACCCCTCCATCCTCTCTTTCACAGTCCAGCCACACACCATCATCTGACAGGCAGGGAGAACACTATTAGCAAACAGGGAGATGGCTGTCAGCTGCATGGACAGGGTCAGACAGTGAGAGATGCATTGTGCTTGTAGTATTTTAATGGGCATGAAGAGAAGGGAGAAGCATGGAAAGTACATGGAAGAGTGCAGTGTGAATGGAGGAGTGTAGGCACAACTCTGGCACAAAACTGTTTTTGTAGCTATTTAGCTTTTTTTGTTTTGTTTTGTTTAGTTTTTTATTTTTAACAGCCATGAAATCAGGGCAGTATCATTAAAGAAAAATAAAACAAAACTTCCATTTGGGGAGCTTTTTAAAAACAGTGAGGAGTCTAGCTTTGTGACCTCTGCAGGAGACCACACTCTAGATCTATCAGGTATCTGCCAGCAAAGACTCCAGATACCTGCTTACATAAACTCAAACTCATCGTTTAACAAATCCATTTCATCACAATTTTCTTCTTAATGAGTATAAAGATTTATTTACCAATGTATCACAATACTGAGCAACTCTGACAAGAGCCAAACTGGGTGACTGGCTCGGGGCTTCTTCAAAACAGCAGGTTTCGGGGTGCTCCCAGTCTGCAGTGGTCAGTACCTACATAAATGGTCGAAGGAAGGACAACAGGGTCATGGGTGCCCATCTGGGCTAGACCATCTCATCCAGTCCCACAGAAGAGCTACTGCAGCACAAATTACTAAAAAAAAACAAAAACATAATGCTGGTGAAGATAAACAGGTGTCAGAACACTGTACATCTCAGCTTACTGCATATGAAACCAGGGTACACTGTGGGAAGTAGGCAAGCTGGCAGAGGCAGTGTGACGCTCAGGTTAATGTTCCGCTAGGAAATCTCAGGTCCTGGCATAAGGGAATATCGTGTTTCATTATGTGTCAATCTTTTTGATCCTCTGTGACTTCATTTGCTTTACTCCTTCCAGCCACTGAATGTTTTTAAAACTGTTCCAGTTAACTTGTTCTTTATAAGGAGCTAAAATGACTAATACACATTCATCTATGAGCAAGAAATGAGCTCATTAACCACGTCTAGGTTTCTCTTCATTAAAGTTTGTCTTCTCTCTGACTTGTAGCCATACCCCAAACTTTCAAAACAAACCCTTAAAGACAGAGCAAAGCCTTAACCAGAGATGATATCCACACCTCAGTGCCAGTTAAGCAGATATGGAGGCAGTATGTTCATGTGTCCGTGTTCTGACTTTAGAAGGAACAGGGTATCCCTGTGACAAGGAACAGGAAGAAAACAGGAACACATTATTGCCTGGCAAACACCAGATTTTGATTTCCCAACTTTCATGTGGGGCCTGTTCAGGCCAGGAGGAGAGTGAAAACAGGAATTTGGCCTCCCTCT